CCACCTCTGTCCCAGCTAAAACTAGGACACCCTAAACCCTAGCTTCTGTGGTATTTAGATGTTTGATTTGTGTGAAACAGTTATGTCAAACTTCTGGTCTTCCGTTTTTTATTACATTACGCTGCATTTTAGAAGCTGCCAGTCTGCAATGCAAGGTAGAGAACAGCTGAACAGTTGGAACTCGGCTGTAGTAAAGCACTAATGTGTTTATAAAACTTACATATCTTCACCTTTAAGCAGGAGAGTTGTGCAAGGAGGAAACATCATCACAGTGATGGGAGGCAGCTGGAGGAGATTAGTCATGAGGTGTGCTCTGCAGGAACAGCACCAGGCACTGCTTTGCAGAAGAGCAGCAACCTGGCCCAGGATGGTGCTACTGGGGAAGCAAAGTTTCAGTATATGTCAGTGTTGACATGTGACAAGTAGAGAACAAGTTTGCTGCATGCTAACAGATGCCATTTTAAATCTTGTGCAGTTTTTTTCTAATGGGAGATAAAGCAATGTGTGTGAAGTAGAAAGATCATAAAGTCCAGTGACCTGTTCATCTGGGTGAAGTCCAAATTCTGGACTGTTGCCTGTGTGAGAATGGGACTTGTGGGGTGATGGAGAGCTAGAGAAAACACTTTGTGAAGATGTTGCAGGCAGCTGTGCTGCAGCAGGCATCCTGGTGTTTGTTCAGACGTAGGCTTATTCCACACTGCTGTGGAATAGATACTTTGAGTTGCACAAGCTTTGTCTGATTTCTTTGGAGCCGGGTCCTCTCCTTCCACAGGAAATCATACCGCTGTCTAAGCCTTGGGCTTTTGCTCCAAATTTCAGTGACGGAAGCTGACAAAATATATACAGCATCTCAAGAAAATGTGTTTGGGGAGCGTTGGGGACCAAGATGCTGGATTTGTAGCTAAAGCATATGGTGTAGTTTATGGTTGTTACTGTGGTGCTTGCTTGCTGTGCTGTTACTGAATCATGAGCAATGCTGAGTGTTTTATGACGCTTGTCTGTAATACTTGTTTTCAGTTGACTCAATTTACACTTGTGTGCCTGTGCATCCTATTTCTTCGGTGTGAAATGAATGACTGAAAGCATACCATGTGTGGTGGTAAAAAGGTCTGTGGAAGTACAACTGTGTCCCCAGTTTCCATACAGGGGTGACTGTCTACTTGAAAAAACAAACCAAAAATACCCCAAACCAACACAAAACAAATGAAATCCTTAGAAGCATTCAGTGCGTGAGAAGAAATTCTGAATAGTGAACATACCTTTTCTGCTGCAGTCCTTTTTTCTGTTGAACTACACATGGTGCATATGTTGGATTCCAGTTAATTTGAGTGACATATTTGAAATGCTTAGAAACACGTGGAGGAGGAAGATACAGGTGTTTGCAAACAACTTTGTTACTGGGGCTTCATATTGTATTGGTTGTCAGCTGTGCTAGCGATTTGCATGTGTGCTCCCAGCCCAGACTAATTGCAAATAAAATTCACTGGCTGAAATCGTTGTGAATATACATTTATTCTTCCTGCTCTCTGAAGTGTATTCTCAGCTGTTAGCAGATCGTACAGTTGAGTGCCTCTGTCTCTATCTTGCTTGACTCAAATTCACTGAGTAGAGGATGGTGGCTTAGAAATTGCTTGAATTCTTCAGTATTTGGATGTGGGTTTACCTTTTCATTGCTGATTTTAAAGAACTGGCCTGTTTTCAGAGATGGTAACACAATCCTTTTGGACAAGAAACCTTCTTAGCAAAAAAACTGCTTTCAGTCTTCAGAGTATCTGCTTCACCTGCCTCTGCTACCTTTGCCAGGCATGGCAGACTGCAGCTTCTTGCAGCTGGCTTCCTAATCCTTCAGATACAAGTCATCATTTATGATCCAAGAAAAAACTACATTACATTATTGTTCTTGCTTTCTTTTCTGCTAACATGGTACTTAGCTAGGTAGCCTGGTCTTACAGCCAGAGCGGATAAGAATTGCCAAGCTCTGGACGAGTTAGTGTCTCTTACTGCTGCAAAAACCAAATCATGGTACTAGTGGAGCACTAATTTATTTAAAAAATGGTGGGGAAATGTGAGTGGGGATGCTTATTGAAAAGAAGGTGGAGGTGGAAAAAAAAGTCTGCTTCAGTAAATTGTTAACTTCTGAGAGTCCTCTGATAAAGGAAGCAGAGAGTGGGCTGTAATCGCAACTAGATACAGGCTCGATCAAGAAGTGTAATTTCTGGAAATGGTAAGATCAAGGTGAGAGAAACAGCAGTGCCCTTCCCGCTCCCCAGAGTTTTAATAGAGATTAATACAGGGTCATTGTCAAGCATGATATCTACTGTTTTCTAACTTTTTTTTAATAAATATAGAAACAGTTCTCTGCAAGGCTTGCAGATTTCTGAGTTTATGTAACTTTGTTAGAAAGGCCTTTGTTTTGTCTTTTAACATAGAAAAGTACTTATTCTGAATACAGTCTATTGATTTAGAATTTTTTTGTAAAATTGCTTGTTCTTTGAAATATAAAATGAACTTTTATGTTTTCAGGCAATCCCTGTCCAGCAGAGGTTAAAAGGCCACTTTGCCGCAGGGGTCAGGACCTTGCCTTTTTCGGCTGAATACTTGGTTGAAATCAACAAAGTCTTACTGGCCATGGCTGATGTTGAACTGCTACTGAATGCACCAGAGCTAAATACTGGTATCTATGAGGATTTTTCAACTCAAGAAGATGCACTGAAGGTACTGTATGCCTAAGGGTTATATTCAGAGTGAAAAAATGGGAGAAGGGAATAGCAGAAGGAAAAAGACCACCTTAGCGACTGTATAGCTGTATTCGTATTTTTGCTCAGTATATACTGGATCAGGAGGCACTGAAAATTAAATAGTGAGACAGTTTTGTGGCTAACTTTTCTTTTATGCAGAATTTGGATACAAAGTATAGCAGTGTGGAAGCTGGGCAGGAGGTGGGGGAGAGGGTTTGACTTCTTTTATTGGAGAAACTGAGATGTTTTTCATCACGTAGCCTAAATAATATGTAGAGAAATGCTAAAGCCAGTCTCCTTAAGTTCTTGCTTGGTCTCCGTAATACAGCTACTCTTCTCCGTGTCATTTGAAAACAATTGCTCACATGGGAAGAGAGAGAAAGGGAGATTCTTGACTTTTGTATGAAGCTATATATGAGGCTACAAGGTAACAGTACCTGTTCTGATCAGCAAACTGTCAAAAGTACGATACAGAGATCCCAACAGAAAACATCCATTGAAGTTGGGAATTGCACATGGTGTGGTGCAGTGTAGATGTACCTCTGTGGGTTGGGAAGCATAATGAGATCTATGTGTCCTTGTATTTGAGGTAGTCATGCTTTGCCTCTCACTTAGAGCTAGTTTAGCTGTTACACAGGTCCTTTAAAAGCTTTTCTGAATTTCATTCCACTTTTCCAACCTGTTTTTCTTTGTGCTGTGTACATACATTCTTTTTTCATATTCGTTTTTTGGCATAGTTTTCAAAAGCACGTAGAGAAATGATGATGCCCACGTTTGACAAAGTGTGTGACTGTTTTGTTGATGAGATTCTCTTGTTCCTCTTTACTCTGGTTCTGTGGTCATGTAAACATAATTAGGAGCATTTATGTTAAGATGGGTTTAAAATGCTTCATTTTGGTTCAGGTCTCTTGTCTGATTTTGAAATTTTTATGTATTCTGAGGCTGTTTTCAGAAGAAGCAAATAGCGGATAATAGAATTTTTAGAAGTGTTACTGTTTTAAATTCAAAAAGATAAGTAAATTCCACTGTTTGCATGGACTGAGCGTCCTTTGAATACCAAGGCACTCTTAGAATAGCATCTGGTTTAAAGCTATTTTCACAGCACATTTCAATGATGTTTGAGATAGATTGCTTTAACTTTGTCATTTAAATCTAAAACTTTTATGTAGCTTATGCTTTGCAGTTCTGTGCATATGGGAGGTTACATGACGCATAATAAAGTTATGTTTTGTGGCTCATTTTTTACATGAGGAAGGAATACGTACAGTGTCTTCATGATACAGGGGTAGATTTGCTTAATAATGAAGATACTGCTATTTTGAGAAGTATGGTATGCCTCTTCACCTCAGGAACGGATTGGATATAAAATATTAAAACCTCTTCATAAAAAAAAATCCTGAGAAGGACACATGCTTAAAAGGTGTGATCTTCTATTCAGTTCAGTTGCTAAAACTGATTTAATCTGTAAACTGTTGATTGTCATGGTCTTATTGTAGATTCGTTTTTTTTTTTTTAAGACATTTACTTTTTGGTCTAATTTGTTTATTTTTTTTAA